TCGATGGTATTGAAAACCACTGAGAGGTCAAGAAGAGCAAGGATGGATGCACTACCCCCATCCCGCTCCCGCCAGAGATCATCCAAAACATCCAATAATAATAGCAGAATAGTTATACTGCTATTCACCCATGCTTGAGTTGACAGAAAACTATATTGGCATGAAAATGCTATCCTCTGATCACTTCATCCAGTCTCAGACAATAGTTGTTGGAATGGAACTGGTTCCTGTTGGCTATTCCTGGCTATTTTCTTTTTTTTGGAGGGGGGGGTGCAATTTAAAAGATAGCATGCTAATCACAGCACTTGGAACAAAGTTAGCCCTTCAAGGCAGACCAGGAAACCAACTCCACAGGAAGATTAGAACTACACTTTATTGAGATAGGCTATTATAACAGAATCTTGCAAGCCCTTCCCTCCCTGTTATAACCCAGGGAGTCAGGAAGGAGTCATCATGAGTCTCTTAATGCTTTTTCTGTTTCTTAGGTTCAATGCATGTTTTTGCTCATGTTGTTGTTATTGTCTCTGAATAGTTTCTTCAAGGTCATCTCTGTGGCTCCCTATAAACATCCAGAACAGTAAAAACAGTTGATTTGTTCCAAGGATTTTTTCTTAAGCTCAGAACAAAATTTAAGAACACAAAATTTTATTATGAGCTCAAAAGATGACCAAGTTTTGTGTCCCCTTTATCCAACATGTGTGGGAGAAGTTTGCAAGACCAGTCTAGTTCATGTATGCGAAGAGTGGCCACATCTTGTCTTGACTAAGATCAAAAACTAGTAAATCAATCCTGCAGAAATACTTGTTCCAAAGCCAGTCTTTGCTCAGAAACCAAGAAAAGCAGTTCTGTTTCTGAGAAATATCAGGGTATAAGTGTGCTCTGGTCCAGACAAGATACAGTATGTAAAAGAGCTGAAGGAATGCCTCTTCCTGTATGCCCCCACCTGTACACAACTATCCTCTTTGGATGGCCTACTCTGGGGACCCTCCCATACGAAACTTCAGGAAGGGGGTCCCAAGAGTGGGCCTTTTCAGGGGTAGCCCATTGACTTAGGAAAGCCATCCCAACTGAGGTACACTTGGGACTCTCTTTATTGTCTCTTTTCTGCCAAGTAAAGACATTTTTATTTCTCCCAGACTTTTTAATTATTTGTTAATGATGCTGTGATTTTTTAAAAAAAATTATTGCTGTTTTTCTGCTCTATTATTGTTTTACTGTATACTTCGTCATTTATTTTATTGTGCAAACCTTCCATTTGAACAGTTTGGATATTATTACAAACCTGCTTTGAAATTTTCTAACAGGAAGTGGTATACAAATATTTTGAATGAATGAAGTTCCCATTAGTAGCCCTTTTCAGACCCCCCTGGTGCCCATCACAATTCTGACTCCCAAACCAGCAGTCTTTCCCACCAAGCACAACCCGGCAATCTGTAGCTTCTCTGTCACTCAGCCCTCTGTTCCTCCACTTGGAGCTCAGAGGCTGAAGATCAGGATAAGAAATTAAAGATGCAGATTCATTTGATGATGCAGAGACTGGATCTGATATAGCTCTGAACCCTGGGTCAAAAGAGGAATCCCAAATTCCATATTTTTATCTTCTGACATCTCCATATCTGAAGAGGAGGAGGAAACCCAGGGCACACAGGAAGCTAGTGCAGCCTTCTTAGGTGTGTCCAAAGCTTTAGAGATAGCCAACATTGTCTGGACTGCTCCAGAGAAGATTCCCTTTACTTCAGAAGAGGCTGAGATACCTTCAGAGCGATCTTCTTCAATTTTGTGTTTGAACTTCATTTAAGAGAGACGAAGACCTCTACTATAGATGTTAGCTCCCTATTCATGCTTAATCTCGTAGCCCATTATATAGCCCATTACATTCACGGGGACCTTGGACAGAGCAAAGTAAGAAATGCAAGTTTATAAAAGCAGAAGCAAAAAATGGAGATGCAGTTGATCAGACAGTAGCCTATTTAGAGTAAGCTGCTGATGCAAAGTCACTATTTACTATATCCCTTATGCAAGTAGGAAACTGAACTGCTGATATAATCATAGATTTTCACTGTGAAGAACATTTAAATAACAAGCACCCTCTGTGTTTGCAGAGGATGTACAGTCTTTTGAAGGAAAACTATTTTGACAATGGTGTTTCAACTAATTGGTTCTGCAGATACACAAGTACTAATAAGTGTAACAGTGTCCTTCACCTGTACAAGTGTGCATTTGAACAGAATTGTTTGTTTCATAAACATTAAATCACTTCAGAAGCAATACAAATCGTTTTCTGCAGTTTCCTCATTCACTAGTTTATACTGTAAGATTGCAGCACAAAATAATTGCATGGCAAATGAGAATTCTTGGAATCAGTTCAGATGATGCATTAAAAATAAATGCATCCTTGCTTCTGGGAAAGATTAAAACATCTCTGTTTCCCGTTTTATTTGTAATTCAATACAATCTCATCATACAATGACAGAAAATAGGGAAAAGATAGATAGAAATTTTTGAAGAATTGTTTTCAATAGGGAGTAAATGTCCATCTTTAAAGTCATCATAAATTAAGAGCTAATGAATTTAATTTAAATTTGGGTATTGACATATTTTCATCTAGTTAAATGTGGATCTAGATGTTCCTCTAAAGTAATTAGGCTCTGCAAGTCATTGTTCCAAAGCTGCTTCAGCATGGACTAACAATATTATTTTTAAAAAAACATACACTTAATTAATTAACTAATAAATGAATCAGCTTCTAAAAGATTGCTTGTAGTAAAATTGCTTAAATTTAGTTCTGCTTGGATAAGATCACGTTATGATCTTCAGTAACAAACAAAATGCAAACACATGAGTTTAGGCCTCTGATAGGCTGGTGTGTGACATATCCTTTAAAATGGATACTGTAAAATGTAAAAAAAAGGTAATGATATCTAAGGAATATTTCCCCTTTCTAACCAAAGCAATACTAGTTAAATGATGGTTTGTAAACATCATTGTTTACAACATATTGTAAAGAACATATTGATTAATAATAGCCATTTTACATCTAGGCAATAATCAGTCATGTTTATTATTCCATTACAGAAATTGTATTTCCAGTCAAGGGAAATAACCATTTACCATATGGGCATCATTTCATCACCAAAAACTCAAAGGACTATGTGAATTGGTCTTGTCATATTCATTTCCACAGCATTTATTGAAAAAGGATTTAATCAAAAGCACTTGTCCATTTAAAGGAAGATGATGATCATCAGACCATTCACAATTTGTATCTAGGTGTTACAGAGTGGCAGAAAACCTAATATAAGTTAGATTACACAGATCCAGAATTTATGTGTGTGTGTGGTGGGGGGGGACAAGGGAAGCTTTACTGTATATATTCACGTATAAGCCCATCCGCGGGTAAGCTGACCCTCAAATTTTAACCAAAATACCATGAAAAATATGCCACCCACAGGTAAGCTGACCCACATTTTTCATAGTATTTTGGTAAAAATTTGAGAGTCTGCTTATCTGCGGATGGGCTTGTACACAAGGATATATGGGTACTTTTAAAAAGTATTACTATGTATACTCATGGATAAGCCAAACCCAATCTGGGGATGTATTTTGACACCCAAAATTCTTGGCTTATCCACAAGTATATATGGCATTTTCTTTCTTTCTTTTAAAAGTGAGATTATGTAACACCTTAAAAGCAGGAATTATGCACTGAAGATAAAAGATAATTGAGGCTACAACCATATACCTATTTACCCAAGGGTAAGTATTATTAGATGCAATGTGATTAATTACTGAAAAGTTAGACACATGTGGGATTACCCGGGGTAAAATATATTTGTATTACAGATTACGATCTATGATGTCATACATACCACCTTTCATCATTCCAACTTCATAGCATTTTCGGAGTCGACAAGCCTGGCAGCTTTTCCTTCTGTTCTTGTCAATAGTGCACTGGTTGGTAGCAGGACACATGTAGTCATTATGACCTATGAAATCAGTGAGAAAAGTAATCATTCTTGAATGCATCTACAGAACACACTGGTTTAGACTTTGCTGAAAAGAGTTTCACCTGAAATTCACAACTAAGTTTTGTAATATGTTTGTTCAACACTGAATTATCCTTGAATGTGTAATTTTTAAATACCTACAATGTAAATTGGTATAAATGAAAGTATGACTGCAATAGCTTGTTTTTCAATGCTATAAAGAGTTACCGTGTTGTTATCCTTTGGAATATTTGAAGAAAGTAACAGTGTTAGGCTTATTTCTTCTGATTTAGGCTTAGCCTACTTCAGAAATGGAGTGTCTTAGCCCTCCAGCTGTTGTTGAACTACAACTTCCAGCATTCCTAGCCAACATGGCCACTGGTGAGGGATAATAGGTGTTGTCATTCAATAAAAAAAGGAGGACCGTAAGTTCCTATCCAAGCCTACCTACCATTTCTGCAATTCTTCTGACAATGAATGGTGAATCTCCAAAATATGTACTAGCATTTTCTTGAACATTTTGTAATAGGGCAGGTTGGATTCAAATGAAAAACACCAAGCTGATTCTATCTACAATATCTTCTACAATCAACTAAACAGATTAAAGTGTAACATGAAAAGAGTAAATTAAAGTCCATCATGAAATATTTTACTTGTAATAGTAATTGGTCTAACTCATCTGAGGTGTTAAAGATGGCTGGAGCTTGACAGAGACCTGAATCTCATCAGATCTAGCTCTGAAGCTTTCCTTATATATTAAGAAAGGGCAATTAAAAAAAAAAATACAGCTATCAGATTATACCAGGAACACTTGCTGACTTGTACTAAACTATGTGAATTCTTCCTAGAAAGCAACAGCTCCATGTAAATGTGTTCACTCCTGTGTCGTAAAAAGAAGCATTCAGTATTATAGTTTTTGTTAAAATACTTATAAAGCAGTTAAAAAATCAGTGAAATTAACATTTTCTTAATATTTCATTCTTGGTTTTGATCTGTGGTAGGTCACATATAACAAAATATATTTCCCACATTCAGGGGCACCCCTGGGGAGGGTGTGCATGAAAAAAAGTAAATATGATGGTTGAGACCACACAACTGAAGCTTTACTTCTCCCCCCATTAGTGTATAAAAAGGAGTAGAGCTTTGATCATACAGTCATAACTGCCATATTGACTTTCTTTTACTGCTTATGGATGGCCCTGCCCACAATGAAGAATCCTTAGAAAAGAGTAGTAATAAATAATAATTTAAAAAATCACTGCACAGGATGGCTGATGGTGTTTCTCTTGGAATTCATAAGCCGTGTGAAATCAGCAATACAAAATCAAAACAAAAATCAGATTCCAGATCTTTTTCATAAGTGTTTAATAGGCATTGTGTTTTTCCACCAGAATTAACATAAAGAGATAATACTAGTAATTGAAAACAAATTTGCATATCAAATTCAAATCATGGATGATCAAAGGTTTTTCCCCAGTACTTGCCTCTCCTTAATTATTGGATGCATCTCTCTGAGCCTTACCAAAATTTGGCACCAAATTGTAATCCTTAATTACAGAATAAGCATCTAATTAATTTAATGATAATTTATATTTAAATCAAGTCAAATATTATTTTTGTCCTTGTCTTCTTTATTAGTTGTTATATTTTGCATAAGGTATATGTTTCATTGCTGTTCTGGGATGGTTTTTATGTATTTATAATAAAACCTGCACTGATTTCTACAATACTCATAAAGGTGTCTCAAAAACCTAAAGACCCCTTCCATCTGTTCAAGGAAAATAGATCTGGAAGCATTTCTCGTTCAACTCCCATTTTGTAATAGAGAATTCCACTAACCTCTGAAGATCATTTATAATTTTGTGTTTTATAGGATTATCCCATCTAATTTTTGTTAGCTGCAAACTGAATGAGCATTCCCTCCACTTCTTCACTTCAGCTGATAATAGAAAATACTGACAACATGGATGACAGATTTTTTTTGTCAGTTTGGCACTAGGACCAATTCCATTTAAACAAAGAAGATAATAAATCTGTGTTTCTGGATTATTTCCGTACTGCATTATTTTACCCAAAATAGGAGGAGGAAGGCCTCTGTATGCCACCGAGAGCTGCTGAGGGAAAGGCGACTTATGAATCTCATGAACTGATAATTGAGTATGATTGAACCTTTCCATATTGGGATAAAATGCAGAATGCCACCTGAATCGGTATGCAAATCTATGAGAAAAGCTTTTCGAGCAAAGGGGAAAACAGACTCATCTTAATATTCACAGAGACACAAATTCTGCTGTAATTATTTCTCCCCATTATATATGGTCAGCCTTCTCCTAACAGGAAATTTACTTTTAAAAAACAATAACTCCTACAGACCATCATCCATTTCACTCCACAAATCTTCCAAAGCAGTATGAAAGAGATCTGTAATCCTTTTCAGTCCTGCTGAGCTAAAAAAAGCTGGAAAGAGGCAATGAACATCAGCAGCCAATCAATGATCCTTCCAGTTAACCCACAGGACCCAAAAAGAAGGCAGAACAACATCATTCAATCAATGCCCTGTCCCCTCAGCTCTAAAAGTAACAAAATTCCTCTGATCCCTGCTACGTACAAAAAGGAAAGCAAATAAATTATTAGTGCTCCCCCATCTGCTTTTTAAGTAGACGTTGCATCCAACCAATTATCTGGTTATTCATAAATTAAATGAAATTGAATTGAATTGTTGCTACCAGGGGCCTGCCCAACTGCACACGTGTCATTCTTTCATTTTTTATTTAAAAGCAACTGGGAGCTTTGCAAGTAAAAGGATAGCTTTGTTGGCATTTTCGCAACATGTTTTTTCACAAGAGTTTTATTAATATTCGCTTATTGCAGCTGCAATGTTTTCAGACTGTTTGCAGAACCTCGCAATTCTGTGCAAGGTGCACAGTTGCCTGGGCTAAGCAAGAGGGCATGAAATCAGGAAGAGTTCTGCCTGTTCCTCCTGCCTATGTCCCAGAGGGGAATAGCCAGCTGCAAAATGCAGGCTGCTGCTTTGATGTTTTTCCAACTTGTTGCCTTGAAAATATACATTTTGAAGTAGGGAGAGTGGAAGAGAAAGTAACGGTTGCTCTCAGTTCTGGAGGCAGAGCAAGGCAAGAGGTCATGTATTTATTTACTGCTATATTTTTATACCACCATACTCTCCAAGGACTCATGGCAGTGCACCATTAACGAAGAGTTCCTATCAGTTAGGAAACCAGACTGTCCACAAGCTCAACGCTTCAAACATTGCAGAAGAAAACCCAAAAGCTTTGCTGCAGATGTCTAATGCATTGGCTCAGCCATTGAACACTGACAGCCTTGTGGGGTCAGGGAGGCCTAGAGCTGCTTTCGAACTGGTGCAGAAATACATTCCTACTTTCAGTGAGACGCCCGCTACTGGAGATGGGAAAGTCAGTTTTGTTTCCCAAATGCACAAGTTTTTATTAATATTGAATATTATTCACCATCTTGT